ATGTCTCCACTAGATCTATTTTGCTCATTTTGCTTTCTGCTTTGTGGTTAGATTCCTATTTATTTATTAGTATTTCAGACTGCTATTCTAGTCTATTTATCTTAGAGAGAAAAAATGTATATTTTAAAAGCAGAATTTGGATAATCACATTCCTTAGAATCAGATCAACCAGACTGTTGCAGTTTGATCTAGATAGCAAGATAAATTTTCTTGCTTGTCTCTATTTCCCCCCATATAGTAAAGATTATCCAAATAAAATCAGTGAATCCAATCCTGTTGCTACTCAGAAGTATAAAGAACTAAGGATCAGGGCCATAAGCTAAAGGGGTTAACCATACAGTAGCCAATCATATGAATCTATTGTAAGCAAATTTTAAGCTGGTGAAAAGCACATAGTGGAATTTCTTGGAATCAGAGGTGTAGTGTTAAGACTACCTTGTTTCCAAATAATCTTACTACTTAGGTTTTTTTGTTTTTTGTTTAGCCAACTGAGGTAGCAAGTAGTTGCAGTGTGATGGGCCTGGCTGTGAGTTAAGTTAATAGAATATTGACATTGCTAATGCCCTGCTCAGTTCATAGCTCTTGCTGATGGAAACATAAACGTCTCCTCTTGAACCCACTTGGGGAAACTACAGTGCAAGGCTTTTGAACAAATTTAGAATGACTGCAATCTGTGTAATAAGAGCAAATATTAGGATTTTAAATGAATAACATCACTGGGGAAGCAGGCAGTATGGTATTTAAATTATATTCCATAGCTTTTCATGCCCTGGAAATATGCAAAAACAAGTTAAAATTTAAAATGACAATGATGATGATATCTTGCAGCAAAAGGAGAAAATGCTGCTGGTGAAGAATTTGTGTATAGAAAGCACTGCTGACATACTATCATACATAGCACCAGAGAGTCTAGTGTTCTTGCAATTTGATCCTTGAAAAGCCTTTAACATTGTCACACCTTCCTTTTCATTTACCAATAATCTATAGTCAGCATTATTATACTTTACCCTGTCCCCCCCCAAAAAAAATATTTAAAGATGGTTTTTCGGTTCCAGGTGGTATGTCAGAATTTGTGTTTTCTATTCTCAGTAAGTCTGTCTAATTAGGAGGGTGCGGACATTCTCACTCCATCTGAATTTGATTACAGCAGGGATTATGAGAGAAAGCGAGAGCTAGAGCAGCGGTTCTCAAAGGGTGTGGTAAGAGAGGATAGCAAGTGTGGTGAGAAATTTCAAGGACAATCAAAAAAACATTTAATCGTTTCAGTGTAATATATTATATTCTAGTATTAAAATTAATTGTAGAATATGGATAGATATATTTTCAAAATCAAGCACTGCTAGGAGTTTGAGAACCACTGATCTAGGGTGTAAGGCAACCTGAAGTAAGATGCAGAAAATCCCATGCAAACCTGAGTCTGAGGCTGCAGTTCTAAGCACACTTGTGACAAAAAATAAACCTACAAGCAGAACTGGAGCCTGGTATTTTGGTACCCAAGGCAAACAACCTGAAATGTACTCATAAGCTAACACCATATTTTATTGTTTAAAAATTATCAACAGTTGTAATAAATTGGTAAAGCAGCAAGTACATATCATTTACCTATTTTTTCCAGTTTTGGTAAAACTACAATAGCAATTTGATCAGAAATGATAGATGATAGAGATAGATAGATAGATAGATAGATAGATAGATAGATAGATATAGATAGATAGATATAGATGGTATAGATATAGATAGAGTAATGTTTATCACATCAGTAGACAAATTGTAAATATAATGTAGGATATTGAATAACACTGGCTGGTATGCAACTACGTAACTCAAGGTTGTGTTTTGGCATGCTAGGCATGATAATTTCACTCTCTTCTGCTGCCCCAACCGAGCCAGTTGTGGGGGAAGCAGACAGGATAAAGTTCTGTTACCAGGCCTGGCCCAATATATTTTGGCACCTGAGGAAAACTCCCAGAGAGGCACCCCTATCCCCACTAGGAGAGAAGCATTGAGTGAAGATCTGTGTCAGAAAGAAGGGGAGAATAAATATGTACATTGGTATCTGCTGCCCCTGTGAATCCTAGTGCCCGTGCTGGTTGCCTCATGGGTGAGCCAACCCTGTCTGTCACATGTGAGAATCCTTGCCACTCATTAGTTGAATCCTGTGCACTTTGTACATGTTTATACACACGCACACACATACACCATTAATCATGATTTAGGTGCCCCCTTGAATCAGGCACCCAGGGCAAGAACTCTGTTTCCCCCACTCTAGTTCCAGCCCTACACACTAGACTTCTTTCTGAGTAAACATACACGTGTATATGATTGCATTGCGATCCCGCTTGACATCTCCAAGATTGCAGGTTCCAAAGAAGACATTGCTTTGAATCACGACAAGATGTGTGCTAGCAAGAATAATTTTTCACAAAGCTCACTCTGATATCTCTTACATAATAAATCCAATAAATCATTGGTTTTAATTTTGCTAGAACCATCCATTCACTGTCAAGCTTGTCTTTTGTCCATTCTCAAACTCTTAATAATGTCCTTATCTCTCTCTGATAAACTATTGACAGTGTTTTCTATCACTATTACTATTTCGTTACAATGCGTTTTCCTGCCATATTCACAAATTGGCTTGCTTCTTTGATTCTTCATCTGTAGAGAGTAACGGAATGATGAGATACTTAGAAGCTATTTCCTTTTTACTGGAAACGGCAAACTTTTATTCCTTCTGTTGGTTGGAACTTGCAAATTCTGAGTTACATATTTGGCATGGATGAATATATTGTCTCTTGCTAAATTATTGACTAATGTTCATTGCAGATGACTGCAATATGTGCAGGAAGGAGAGATTACTATAGAACCTGCACCACCACTAGCATGTATGGATGAAATTTTGTTTTTTGTATTAAGTTTACTAACTGGTAGTATAATAGCCTAGCAGTATCATAAATGGTGTGCATTGATTGCCGTCCTTGAGAAAACCACTACTAAGGTACATCTGCTTTGTTCATATAGCATTTTTATTCTAACATTCTAGCAGTTGCCTTTAGAACAACAAAGCTTGCAATAGAATAGTACGCTTTCTACATACCTCACCGTTGAGAGTAGGGGTAAAAATTTCACTTTAGCACTCTTTTTAGCATACAAATGAGTATTATGATGGCATTCTTCAGGTTTTGATGGTGTTCCCATCCATTTCTGAGAATGTTCTGCATAGAGCCTTGGGTTTTGCTCTGAAATCCCTCCGGACCCTACTCTGAAGGAAGTACATCAGAAATATATGTTCATGAAAAATAAAATCAAGTGAACAGCCAGCTTCCTTGGCAGTAGAAGTTCTCAGAACATGCAAACCGTTTCAACTGTCAAGGAATATTTCAGATGCTTTCAGTTTAAACAGCATTTTAAGGAAATAGAGTGAAAACATCTTTTCACAATTGTCATTTGGTCTGAGTGTCAAAAAGGACGTGGACATCTTTGAAAACATTCGTCTAAGAAAAAAAACGACCCCATAGAAAAATGTTTGGGGGGGAGCCATAATAGTGAGGGTTTTTTACCTGAGGAAGTACAGTTTGGGGAAGATAAAAACAGTTGTTGGCAGATCCTGTGCCTTTTTTAAAATGTGGGGGGTTTTGGGGGGAGTTATTGGGTCGTTGTTTTTATTTTGATTATGTATTTTGTGGTTTTATATTTTGATTTTATTCTGTGAACCGCCCTGAGACCTCCAGGTATAGGGCAACATATATATTCAATTTATTATTATTATTATTATTATTATTAGACCTGAAAATAATTCAGAATCCTTAAACCTGAATAAAACCCTTCAATTAGTGACCCTGTGATTAACTCTGATGGTTGAGATGTCTGGCCACTGTATCACCAGGGTGGATTTTCTATCACATTGGGATGGTAACTGAATTATTTCGAGCATCTTGCATAGTATGAATTTCTGCAGCCAAACTTACTGACCTTGGTGTAAGTTAGGGCATTTGTGACAATCAAGTGATAATCTGCACTGCATGTAGACATTTAGCTCCTACAAGCCATTCATTAGCTGTTGGCCTTCTCCATAATACACATTGAGCTTTTGGCAAAGGCATGGTTGGTCACCAATAGCAATGCTGGAGAAATCTCAAAAGGGATTAATGATTTTTAGTTGCAGCTGCTGCCACATTCAGATCCCTTCATTAGTCAGCTTGGAATCTGACTTTAAGCAGCTTTACATAGATATATCAGTTTTGTTCTGTGAAAGAATCATTGGCTTTCTGATTCTTGACTCGAGAATGTTTGCTCTCTCTGGATTTTCCATATGTATATCCACGAAACAAAATGTGCTTGTCTTGTACCATCCTTTATCTTGTGAGGAAAATAAGTTAAATACCTGCAGATTTTTCCCCACTGTTGACTTTCAGTAATGCTGCAAGTAGTCTTGCAGAGCTGAAACACTGATTCCAAAGCATCCAATGAATGTTTTATGTTAATTAGTTCACTGCTGTATTATGATATCTAACATGGAACTGTGTCTAGTCCTGTTCTGTCAGTCATTATGATTTGCTGCGTAACCTGTAGCCCTCCAGTTGCAATTATCAAGACAAAAGTAGTACCAGAAATGAGTACAAGGCTGTCAAGTGGCTGCATCCCACCCACATTTGTGGAGTAAGCCCAGCCCAAGATGTGTGACTATATCTCATTGCAGTTTACTGTGTAGGCAGACCTGTAGTCTAGGAATTTGCTCACACAAACACATAGCCATCTTCAAATAGCTCAAGAGTTGTCACATGGAGGATAGAGGAAGGTTGTTTTCCCCTGCTCTGGAGGCTAGGACCCAAACCAAAGGATTCAAGGTACAAGAAAGGAGACTCCGACTAAACATTAGAAAGAACTTTCTGATAGTAAGAGCTGTTCCACAGTGTTGTACCCTTGTGCCCTAGGAGATGATGTGACCAAGTGCTTTTCCAGTAAAGAAATAAAGTTCCAAACACTTGTGCTGGGCATGCTTGGGATAAATCTTTCTCCCTAGGCCCAAATGTCCTCTGTGACTCAGAAGTGCCCTTTACCAGCGTTGTCTGGTTTGACAGCTGTGACTGTTCCTGGACTTGGATAGGCTGACCACTATAGTCCATGCACTGGTAACCTTGAGGCTGGATTACTGTAATGCGCTCTACATAGGGTTGCCCTTGTGTTTGGTTCACAAGCTCCAGCTGGTGCAAAATGCAGTGGCCAAAGTGCTGGTGGGGGCGTCTGGTTGAACCAAGGTCCAGAGCAGAAACAAGCGTATCATTGATTTCCTCAGCTGGCAAAGCTTATTTGATAACAAAAAGGAACCAAGGCTTCAGAATTGTTTTCTCCTTGCCAGTCCTGGGTAAGGGAAGGGTAATGATGGCAATGCACCATGTGGAGATGGGGAAGAAAAGGAGGCAAGAGTAGAAGTGGTATAGCTATAAGAAAGTTTCGCAACCCTTTAGAAAATTTGTTGCCACAGCTTCAGCAATACACATGCTGAATTGACCTGGGCAGGTATTTTAAAAGAATGTTGTTGTGTTACTGTGCTGTCTTAAACACAGAATATTTTTTCTGTCTAATGAAGATTAGTTAGATTTCAGAGGTATGGCTTGTAACACACTGCATATTCAGAATATGCTGGATTTTCTTGCTAAACTCTTATAATGAAGATTGAAGGGGAACTGTACCGCACTGTACAGCTAGCTAACTTGGCAGTTATAATGAAGTGGTTTGTATTACTATGTTTTGAATGACACAAATCTATTTACAAGGTAAAAACTGCAAATATGTTGTATAGGATTATGCTGCTGAAATGTAGTACAAACTGCACTGCAGCTTACTATTCTAGTGGCACAGCAATAAAATTAATAGCATATTTGCAAAGCTAAGCAGGTGCTGGTATGGGTTCAAATTGGATGGGGGACCACATGTTGAGATTCCTTCTTTTCAGGGGGTTAGACTAGATGACCCTCAGGATCACTTCCACCTCTACAGAAATAAGGACCCTGTGGCCCTCCAGAGGTTTGCTGAACTGATAACCCACATCAGCCTCAGCCTCAGCCAGCATGGTCATCCCAATGTTCAGGGATGATGGGAATTGTAGTCCAATGATATCTGGAGTGCTACAGGTTCTCCATCCTTCATTTAGTTAGCATTCTGTATTATAGAGAGCATAGGCACGCTACAGTGATTTTTACTGAGTGCCAAAGAACACATTTCTTAGGTTTCTGTGGCCACAGGAGAGAGAGGCAGATACAAGAGACAAAGACATATATGGATACAGTTTGAATGATTCTATTATAATTCACATGCCGGGAGGGAAGAGTGAATTCTGATTTATGACCGTTTCCTGTCTTATGTCCTTTTACAGTTGCTTTAGTCAGCAGATTCCTCGATGTGGGGAGTACACAGTGGTGTGTGGGTGTGGGTGTGTGAGAGAGAGACAAGAGGGAAATTGCTGGTGCCACACACCATCTCCCTGCTTAGGGGTTGGGGTTTTTTTTCAAGAGCTCTAGTTCAAATCAAGGTACATTTTGATGATCTCTTTCATGTGTGATAAAGTCTAAGGCTGGCACCAGTACGGTGCTAATTTAACAAGAGGGAAATCGTTGGTGCCACAATGATATAAAATTGTATTAATGCAATGAACTAAACTTACTTGTCATTTGAGTAGCACCAAACACATCACTTTTGTCAGGTGTTGCAATTGGAAATCATAGTGATATAACTGTTGCAGCCATGCTGGTATTGGCCTGAAATATTTTGTAGAGCTTTGTCGAAAGAAAAGTGGGGTGCTCAGGAGAGCTCTGTAGAGAAAGTGGGGTGCTCAGGAGAGTCTCTTGTGGCCCCTTCCTTGCCCCACTGCTGCACAATTGCTTTATTTTCCAGTAGTTTCTGCCACTACTCTCTTTTGTCGCTCACTTGCAGCCCCAGAAAAGCAGAAAACTGGGGCTGTCCAATTAATGATTCAACTTGGGAATCCTTGACCAGTGTCCTTTGAGCCTCCAGCCAATCTCTCTTAATTTATGCAAAACATAAAGCCAGCTCTCCAGCCTTCTGCCTCTCCCCATGAATAGAGCAAATATCTGACTTTACCAGCTCTAGTCTTAGACTGCTAATAGGATGAAACCCAAAGTGAGGAAGGCACATGAGGATTCCCAAATCCTGAGATTGGCAATTGCACATAGACTCCACTAGTCCAGTTGTGAAACTTTATTAAGAATATTGGCAAGAGAGCAATAAGGTCCAACAGAAATTTTAAAAGCAAAAAAAGAACCCAATGACTCCAATACCAGACCACTTCTATCCTAATTACTAACAACACAATGATCTCAGTCCACTTAAGCGTAGGCAGTAAGGATAATCAGTTTCCTGGTAGTATGGAAGATGTGAAATGGGCACTGTGTGATAAAGGGAGGGGACAAAGCTGCAAGGGCCGTTCCAACTTTTAAAGACTCTCTCTCCTTGAAGGGAGTGGCCCCGGCTCTTTCTAACCAAAGAGAGCGACAGTCAGTTTGCCAGGTGTGTCACATTTCCAACCTGCACCTCAAGGCATTCATTCAAGAGTTTTGAATACTTGGCGGAGATACCTGAGATACATGACAACTTGGTTTACAGGAAATGGTGGGAAGCCTTTGTCACAGCATCTACTTCCTGCAACTGGGCTGTAGGGAATTAAGTAATTCCACTTAGAGATAGATTAAAATGTAATGTTTAGGTGTTAGCAAGGAAGCGTTGGCTGCTGTGGTCAGGATGGTCTCCTGTGGCATGTGGATTTAAATCACCAATGAATTTCTATATGAATAAGAAAGAAATACAGCAGCCTATTATAAGTAATAGAATATGGTAATATTACTGCTGCATACAACAATTCCACAGCCTTGACAGCACAGCTGTTAAGAGTTAGGATTTTAAAATATGTACAATCCTTTGTCAACAGAGTTAAGAATGGCAACATTACATGGCTTATTTCTGCATGAGAGTATTTTGTGGGGGAATTTAATGACAAACTGTTCTGCATTTTGACCTTTCATAAATATTCTGGGCTTTTGCATCTTCCAGTGAATTGGTGAGATTCTCAAATTAAGACATGCAGAATCTTAATGGCTACTCTGACATTTTGCTAGACCTGGCTGGCTGAGTACCTGAACTTGATTAGTTTTCTAATGTGCTTGCTCTGCCAAGCCTGAGACACCAGTGTTCGGGGTAGTTTAGTTTTCTGTAAAGTGATTGCACTGCAAACCTCTTTCCAATTAAAAGGTGATGCTGTTCAGGTAATGGAAAGTTGTTTTATTGTTCCTGTCCCTTGGTATGCATGAAAGCAGTAAGGTTTTAGGAAAGTGATATAGCTTGTATTTTTGTAGCTCTTTATTTTATACAGCAGGTATTTATCTTCAAAAATGTAGGAAAACTCTCATGTGCCTAGCTAACTGGGTGACAGAGAACATTGATCACAAAGACACCCCCTGCATTAAACATTGTGAGAAGGAAAGGTTTTCTGTTTCCAAAGATGATAGGGCTACTGTTTTAGTTTAAGACCAAAGTGATATGAGATGATTCTGGCCAGTTGTGGCAACCAAGTACGCAGGTTAATGCCCAATTCCAAGCTGATATAATGAGTAATTATTTTCCTCATGCAAACTAATTGCCTCCTTTTGGCTCTATTAATGCATCTTCCAATTAGGATATCCAATTCAAATCTTAGTAAGTATGTCATAGTGGGAAGCTTTTGGACTTCCCATAGGCATCTGGTCACTGTGAGAACAGGATGCTGGACTTGATGGGCTAAGCAGGATGAATCAAGCAGGCTCTTCTTATAATGAGCTGAAAAAAGAAACATTGGGGAAAATAATTGTCAAAACTATACAATGGGTAAGTTTGCTCATTTCCTTAAGATATTTTTTTTAAAAGAAAAATAAACCTCTAGAACACTGCATTTGGGCATTGATAATCTGTTGAGAAGGTAACTTGAAGTGTCAGAATTGGGGTATAGGGTGCAAGGTGCTGTTGAGGCATGCTGGGAAATTTACTTGCTGATTCCCATTTTCCAGTCTGCAGTAAAAAGTCTGAATAGAACTGAATAGTTGCTGATTGTGTCTCCATATTTGGCAGTAGATCACAAATCTGATTTATAGCATTTGCTTGGCTTTCAGCAAGCAGTAAATGCATTGCTTAATTATTCATGGCAGATGTATTATTGCAGAAAATTAAGACATCAAGAAACAAGTAAAAGCTGTTACCGAAGAAAGCGATAAACAAAGCTAAAAGTGGAAAGAGCTGTTGGGTGATACTCCTGAAGCATCAGGGGCTGGCCCTCAAGAATAGATGTTTCGCACCTTCTGAAAATAATTGGTTAAACTTCCCAACTCCTTAAGCATCTCACTCGTCACACTTAATTAATAGTGTTATATTAGCTCGCAAGTTAGATTTAATTTGTTTAATGTGTCATTTGAATTATCACATTTACAAATGTGAGAACCCCACCCCCCACCCTGCTATTGTCACTTTCAGCACCGAAATGTGTATAAACAAATTCTCATTTTCTAGGTATTAACATCCTTGATTACTGTGAACAACTTGTGCAGAATCTATCTTAGGAAGGTATTGCAAAATAAAATTTAAAAATGCCAAGGGGGTTTATCCTTAGTACTTCACTATTTTCCACAGCACTACATTATTGTGCCTTCCCTTTCAAGATGTGCACTGAAGAGCCCTCCAGCCCCCCACGTGCTCTTGAACCGCATCAGCTCCAGCCAAAATGACCAATGGTCAGGAGTTGTAAACCAACAACATCTGGAATGCTGGAGGCTTGCCATCCCTGAGTTAAAAGCTCCAACTTTTAGAGGAAGGGAAATAGTTCATCCCTGGTAGTTTCACAGAACCTTCCTGGAATTACCGTATTTTTCGCCCTATAGGACGCACTTTTTCCCCTCCAAAAATGAAGGGGAAATGTGTGTGCGTCCTATGGGGCGAATGCAGGCTTTCGCTGAAGCCTGGAGAGCGAGGGGGGGTCGGTGCGCACTGACCCCTCTCGCTCTCCAGGCCTCAGGAAGCTATCCGCTAGCCGTGGGAGACGCAGCTTCGGGCTTCGCACAGCGCTCCGCTAGCGGCTCTCCCACGGCTAGCGGATAGTAACCTGTTCTGGGGGCTGGGGTCGGGGGAAGCTCAGGCTTCCCCCGCCCCAGCCCCGCACCTGGGGGGGGGGAATAATTTTTTTTCTTTATTTCTTTATTTCTTTATTTTTTTCTTTATAAAAAAACTAGGTGCGTCCTATGGGTCGGGCGAAAAATACGGTATCTGGCTTGCTACTGCTGGAAAAGAAACAATTATATATATAAAAAAGGGGTGCTTGTAGAGTAATTCTTGGCTGCTGTTATGTTCTGACACTAAGAATTGCATCACCTCCACTCTGATAACACTGTCACATAGACAGCTCTGCGAATGTACCAGAGATTATAATATCGGACACCAAATTTGGAGAGTGGGAAGGGGCTGGCTATATTGGTCTACTTATCAGATAGCTACTCATCAAGCTATGGCACTTAATTGCAGAAGATAAATGAAACAAGGTAGGAATAATAATAATAATAAAATTTTATTTATACCCCAGCCAGAGCCTGGCGCAGGGCGGCTAACACCAATAAAATTACACTAAAACATAATGGGCGGGGGTACAAAAAAACCACACCAGTTTATTAAAATACGGGTTAAAATACAATTTAAAATGCAGCCTCATTTTAATAGTAGCCCATAAATCAAAACCATAAGGGTCTGACTGAGTCCAAACCAAAGGCCAGGCGGAACAGCTCTGTCTTGCAGGCCCTGTGGAAAGATGTCAAGGGCCCATGTCTCTTGTGACAGAGTGTTCCACCAAGTTGGGGCCAGTACTGAAAAGGCCCTGGTCCTAGTTGAGACCAATCTAACCACCTTGCGACTTGGGACCTCCAAAGTGTTGTTATTTGTGGACATTAAGGTCCTCCGTGGGGCATACCAGAAGAGGCGGTCCCGTAGGTATGAGGGTCCTAGGCCACATAGGGGTTTAAAGGTCAAAACCAGCACCTTAAACCTGACCCTGTACTCCACCGGGAGCCAGTGCAGCTGGTAAAGCACTGGATGAATGTGATCCTGCATCAAGGACACCATAAGGAGCCTCTCCACGGCATTCTGCACCCACTGGAGTTTCTGGGTCAACTTCAAGGGCAGCCCCGTGTAGAGCGAGTTACACGGAGGTAACCGTGCCTGGAGGTGACCGTCGCATGGATCACTGAATAATACAGTATCTGATGACAGCCCAAAGAGGTTCCTAAAATAACTGTAGACATGCCTCCCTTAGGGACAGGGAAAGAGGCCTTGTTTGACACACATATGTGGCAACTGAGGCCTTTCTTCAGATAAGAGATGTCAAATTTCAGCAAGTGTGAGTGAAGGGATGTTGGGTCAAGAGTGTGGGAGGCTGGTATGGGAAATAGTGAGTGAAGTTAAGAATGACTTGGTAAGAATTATGATGTTACTGAAAGAAAGAATGGTTAGGTGTAATAATCTCAAACCTAGTTTATCAATGTTTTGTGACATTCTATAGATACAATTTCCTACTTTTTGCAAAAGTTGCACTAGCATTTCTCAGTAAAGATAGCTCAAATGAAGAATCCCAGTACAGGAGATGTTTGGTTTCTTCCTCAAAATAGGTAGAAAAGCCACCCTGGTTTGCTAGTGTGGTTTCATTCAAGTGGGACTTGCCTTCAGTTGAAATGGATTGGGTGCCACATTACTAGTTACTATGTGAATCTCTTCGTTTCTGTCATTTAATAAAACTTGAGTCTGAAACAGAATTCTCCAGACATCTCTAGGGACAAATTGTTTAAAGACAAAGTTTGTCACAGGGAGAGCCAAAGAGGCGTACATGGAACGTTAGCAAAAATCTTAGCCCTTCCTAGGTTTCCATGAATCCCTGCTCCAAACTTGATGGTGTTCCTTATAGTTTGCGATGGACTCCTGAGGTATCCCACAAAACATCAATATATGATCTAGGTTTGTATCACAAACCTAGTTCTCTTAGTCCCTTAGTAAAAACTCAAACATTTCAGCTGAACCTTTAATCCTTAGCATCAGGTCAGAATAAAAATGCTTCTATTATGAAGAACATCAAATATGTATTCTATAATACTTTCCGATATATACTAACACAATTGGAAAATTGTAAGGCTGTTTTGGAGGCATGTTGTTCAGGTCCTTTCATTTCTGCCCCCCT